TTGGTCAATTTGGCTGTTGAAACTTGTGCATGCTTCGTGAAGTTCTCATGTTGTGTTTTTCAGCTACATCAATTCACTTGTATTCCTCTCTATGTTGTCCATTCTCATTAGCATTTCATCAAATCTTTTTTCAAGGTTCTTGGTTTCTTTGCATTTGGTTAGAACATGTTCTTTAAGTTCACAGAAGTTTCTTACTACCCACCTTCTGAAGTCTGATTCCATCATTTCATCACACTCGTTCTCCATCCAGCCTTCTTCCCTTGCTGGTGAGTTGTGATCCCTTGTAGGAGGAGAGGTGTTCTGGTGTCGGGTGTTTTCATCCTTTTTGTGCTGGTTTCTTCCCATCTTTGTGGGTTTATCCACCTGTTGTCTTTGTCGTTGCTGACTTTCAGATTCGGTCTCTGAGTGAACTTCCAGTTTGTGGATGATGAAGTTATTTCTGTTTCTTAATTTTCCTTCTAACAGTCTGGCCCCTCTGCTGTAGGACTGCTGAGGTCCACTCCAGGCCCTGCTTGCCTGGGGATCACCTGCAGCAGCTGCAGAAGAGTAAATGTTGCTACCAGTTTCTTCTTCTGCTATCTTTGTCCCAGAAGGATACCCGCCAAATGTCAGTGTGTTCTCTCCTTTATGAGGTGACTCTTTGGACATACGGGGGTCAGGGAGCTGCTTGAGGAGACAGTCTGTCTTTTATTGGAGGTCAAGTGCTGAGCTGTGAGCTCTGTTGTTCTTTCAGAGTTGCTGGGCAGGTAGGTTTGCAGTTTAGGTCTGCTGCAGCAGAACTCATAAACTCCTTTTTTTTTCTTCCCCCCAGGTGCTCTGTCCCAGGGAGTTAGGGCTTTATTTATGAGTTTCCGTTGTGCTGCTGCCTTTTTTTTTCTGGGCTGCCTTGCCCAGTGAGGAGGCAGCCTAGTCACTATCTGCTTGCAGAGGCTTTGCTGAGCTGCTGTGGGCCCTGCCCAGCTGCTGTGTGAATTTCCCTGCAGTCCTGTTTATATGGGTGTAATTAGAACGGCCTTGGTAATGGTGGCCTGTCTCTATAATGGCAGACTCTCTATTTAAGGGCAGGTTGCCTTGGCAACAGCGGGCTGCCTCAGTGATGGCGGACTACCTCCGTTATGGTGGAGTGTCTCGGTAATGACGGACGCCCCTCCCCCTCAGAGCTGGACTGTCCCGGGTTCAGCTGTGCTTGATGTGAAACTCTCTCCCAGAGCGTTTTCAATTACTGTTTCTTTTTTTTTTTTTTTTTTTTTTTTGGTGGGGGTGGGATCTGCCCAGCCTGGTCCCCTGGGTCCCTGCCTCTGGGCCTTTTTTTTTGGTCAACTCTCTCCCAGGTGTTCCAGTCACCTGTTGAAAAGGTGCTGGGATCTGTGTGATTTCCCGTGCAGTGACTCACTGCATCAGCTGAAACAGCGGCGCTGAGATTCGTGGTGGCTTTTTAGCCAGGAATCTCCTGGCCTGGCTCCCTGTTTCAGTTCCTTTTTGAATCAGATGAATTGGCAATCTGCCTTCCCGGGTCTCCAATCGCCAGCTAAAAGGGCACCCGAACCAGTGTATTTTGTACGGAGAACCCCTGTGCCAGGGCGCCAGCAAAGCAGCCGTGCTGGCCAAAACATCTGCGCTGGCCAAAACAGCCGCGCTGGTGACCAGTGGGGCTCCTCTGACTGGGAATCTCCTGGTCTGTGGGCAATAAAAATCCGTCTGGAAATGCAGCATCCACTCACCCTCTGCGCTTTCACTGGAAGCTGCAATCCTGAGCTGTTCCTAGTCAGCCGTTTTGGGTCCTCTCCCAGAAGTTGGTTTTATAGGTTTAGGGTAGGCAGTGGAAAGTTACAGAAGTTACAGTTCAGGGTGTTGTTTTGCAAGCTGGGAGGGGGTCATAGGGTCTGGAGTCAAAAGGTTGACCAAGGTTGGTTACAAACTCCAATGGCCTTATCAATTGATGCAGAGTAGGGGTGGGGAGGAACAATAGAAGAATAGAAGAATGGCTCAGGTTAATTAGGCTCTGAAGGCATTGATCATTCTTCCTTTTTTCTTGGTCTTCCTGTTACTTCAGACTTTCTAATTCTGGGAGGCCATCCAGAGGTGTATGTGTGGGTCATGGGGGTCGCCATGGCGTCCATGGCACCGTCAGTCAGTCTAAAAGACCTTATAAACACAAATTTGTAAACTTTCTTAAAACACTATAAGATTTTTTTTTTTTTTTAATTCATCAGCTTTCATTAGTATTAGTGTGTTTTATGTGTGGCCCAGGATGATGATGATTCTTCCTATGTGGCTCAGGGAAGCCAAAAGGTTGGACATCCCTGGTTTAAAGCAAGCAGGCACAGGTCGGGCTGTGACTGAGAGGTGGTCACTGCAGCATATCTGCACAGTGCGTGCAGGGTGTGGGGTTCACTGGAGCAAGTCAGGCAGGTTGTATCTAGCAATCCTATGAGGAGGTGGTCCCCAGGATAAGGGCAGACATCTGGATGGATCACACTGAGGAACTGGAAGGAGGTGGAGAATTGGAAATTGGAACTAAGCCCTACTTCTGGTATGGGAAAGTAACTTGTATTCAAAATGGAACCATAGAAATGCAAATTAAAACCACAATGAGATTCCACCTTACTTCTGTAAGAATGACCATAATTAGAGTCGAAAAACAATGGATACTGGGATGGATGTGATGAAAGGAACATTTTTATATTGCTGGTGGCAATGTAAATTAGTACAACTACTATGTAAAACAGTCTGCCTTAAAGAACTAAAAGTAGGTCTACCCTTTGATCCAGCAATCCCATTACTCGGTTTCTACACAAAGGAAAAGAAGTCATCACATGAAAAAGACACTTGCAGACATTTATAGCAGCACAGTTTGCAATTGCAAAGACATGAAACCAACCTACGTGCCCACTGACCAAGGAGTAAATTTTAAAAATGTGGTATATATACACCATGGGATACTCAGTCATGAAAAAGGAATAAAACAATGTCTTTGGCAGCAACTTGGATGGAGCTGGTGGCCATTATTCTAAGTGAAGTAACAGGAATGGAAAAACAAATACCATATGTTCTTTTTTTGTTTGTTTTTTGAGATGGAGTCTTGCTCTGTTACCGGGCTGGAGTGTAGTGGCACGATCTCGGCTCACTGCAACCTCCACCTCCCAGTGTCAAGCAATTCTCCTGCCTCAGCCTCCTGAGTAGCTGGGATTACAGGCGTGTGCTGCCACACCTAGCTAATTTTTTTCTTTCTCTCATTTTTTTTTGAGATGGAGTTTCACTCTTGATCTTGGGTCACTGCAACCTCTGCCTCCTGTGTTCAAGCGATTCTCCTGCCTTCCAACTAGCTGGGATTACAGGCATGTGCCATCATGCCTGGCTAATTTGGTATTTTTTAGTAGAGACAGGGTTTCTCCATGTTGGTCAAGCTGGTCTCAACTCCCAGCCTCAGGTGATCTGGGCACCTCAGCCTCCCCAAGTGTTGGGATTACAGGCATGAGCCACTGTGCCCAGCCTAATTTTTGTATTTTTTAATAGAGACAGGGTTTCACCATGTTGGTTAGGCTGGTCTTGAACTCCTCACCTCAAGCAATCCACCCACCTTGGCCTCACAAAGTGCCGGGAATACAGGCATGAGCCACCCACACGGCCAAAAAGAAAAGGAATGTTTCACGAATTTGCGTATCATCCTTGCGCAGGGGCCATGCTAATCTTCTCTGTATCATTCCAATTTTAGTCTATGTGTTGCCAACTCGAGCACTGTTATTACTTTTAAGTGGGAGGTAAGCTATGAGGATGCAAAAACATAGGGAATGATAGAATGGAGTTTGTGGAATTGGGGTAGGGTGAGATTGGGAGGTGAGTGAGGGATAAAAGACTACATACTGGGTACAGTGTATTGCTTGGGTAGCAGGTCTAATAAAATCTTACAATTCACCGCTAAAGAATTCATCCATGTAACCAAAAACTACCCGTACCCCAAAAACTATTGAAATAAAAAAAGCTAATGGAACCATAAAATTATATAAGAATTTACCACACTCATTTATTCTTTACGATGGCACTGTATGTATCTATTAGGATTGTTAGTCTTTTTTTTTTTTTTTTAATTTTCTGAGACAGAGTTTCACTCATTGCCCAGGTTGGTGTGCAATGGTGTGATCTCGGCTCACTGCAACCTCTGCCTCTACAAGGTGGGTTCAAGTGATTCTCTTGCCTCAGCCTTCCGAGTAGCTGAGATTACAGGCATGGGCCACCATGCCTGGCTAATTTTTGTATTATTTTTTTTCAGCAGAGATGAGGTTTCGCCATGTTGGCCAGGCTGGTCTTGAACTCCTGACCTCAGGGTGATCTGCCCACCCCAGCCTCTCAAAGTACTGGGATTATAGGCATGAGCCCTCACACTTGGCCTAGTCTTACTTCTTAATAGAAGAAGAACCAGTTAATTATGGAAAAAGAGGGAGAAGGAGGGAGGAAAGAGGAGGTAAAAAGAGAAGGGCAGAGAAGGGAAGGAAACCATTATAAATGCAGGCAGCCAGTACTGCCTACATTTTCCAAGTAGAGAAAAAGAAGCCTCAGAGGCATAACACGTGTTGCCCAAATCAGTCAGTAAGTGTTGCAACTGACTTTCAGAGCCAAGGGTTTATTTGAAAAGTCCATATTCTAGCACACACCAGTGAATGAGATATGCTGCTTTCCAACATACGTTGGGAAGCTACTGCCCTCCTCAACTCCTCAGTAAGGATGCTCTTCCTGTGTCCTGGGAGTCCCCATTGTCTCAGGGAGGGAGACATTGAGGCTACAGAACATCTAGATCTCTCATGGAGCTAGAATTGTTCCCATGCGAGAGCTGGTGGAGAAGACCACACAAACTGTTCCCTCTGTGTCTGTTGTGGAGCCTGGCGTCACCATTGGTCAGCCAGGAGGCAGGCTGTTGGGGAGGAAGGTTGGATGTGGATGGGAGCAAGTACAAACTGGAACTTGGGCTACCAATCCCACCTTGAAGCCATGGGAATGATGGGCTGTGGGGAAAAACATGCAGCAAGCAGCACCTGTATGTGCCCTGTACTTGGACAGGCTGGAGGTGGCTCTGGTGGCAGCTGTAGGTCCCTCAACTAGCAGATCAGCAACAGGGCACACCAGCTGCCTTGTTCTGATGTCCTGCACTGCCCTTGAGAACCTAAGATATGTGATGTCATTTCACTTCTGCTCTCCAAATCTCAGGCAATGTCTCATGATCAATGCTAACTTTGAACCAGCCAGGGAAGGAAATCCTGGGGAGGGAGTTCTAGCTTAGCTACAAGGACACAGTCCAGAGCCACTACACTTACCTTGTGTATACCTCTCAGTAAAGATTAGAAATGCCAGGTTTGTTTCCCCAATTCATCTTGCAGCTTGGATATATGCCCTAGGATAAGCCAGTCGGATGCTGAGACTTTAATCTGGAGCCACAAGGCAGCAAAGACTGAATTCTCACTGTTCTTTCAGTCTGGTTCCCAAAGTCAGCAGAGCATGGTGTACACAGCATGAATCAGAACCATGGAGCTGGTTTTAAATCCTGGCTTAAATTATTCCCTGGGCCTCTGTGACCTTGTGCAAGTGTCCTAAGCTCTCTGGACCTGTCTCTCCATTTTTAAAATGGGCATAAAATATCTAACATGTCATTATGTAGAATGTGAATTGCATAAACTGCATCAGGTTTGAAATGTCATCGGGTTGCTGCAAAGCATTTTTTTCCGAGTCTCTAGGATTCCTGATGATTCCATGGGACCTTCCACAGTCTTTTCTCAATGTATTCAATTTTCACCCATCACTGATTCCATTACTTGATGAAGGTATAAAGGCTTCCCAGTGAAGTATAGGAAGCATTTTGTGGGGTGGGTCAGGGTGTGGATTCTCAGTACTGTCTGTGCTTCTAGCAGGACTTTCTTGTCTTTAGGCTGGCTGGCTCCTTCCTGGTGTCACTGATGTTTTAACACTTAAGGATCTGGCTGGGCACGGTGGCTCACACCTAATACCAGCACTTTGGAAGGCCAAGAAGGGTGGATAATGAGGTCAGGAGATAGAAAGCATCCTGGCCAACCTGGTGAAACCTCATCTCTACTGAAATAAAAAAAATTAGCCAGGGGTGGTGGTGGGTACCTGTAGTTCTAACTACTTGGGGGCTGAGGCAGGAGAATTGCTTGAATCGGGGAGGTGGAGGTTGCAATGAGCCGAGATTATGCTACTGCACTCCAGCCTGGGGCAACAGAGGGAGATTCCATGTCAAAAAACAAAACAACAAAAACCCAGCTGAGGATTTGCCTATAATCCAAGCATTCTGGGAGGCTTAGGCAGAAGGATCCCTTGAGCTCAAGAGTTTGAGACCAGGATGGGCAATACAGTGAGACTTCGTCAATACTAAAATTCAAAAAAATGAGCCATGCATGGTGGTGCATGCCTGCAGTCCCAGGTACTTGAGGGGCTAAGGTAGGAGGATCACTTGAGCCCAAGAAGTGGAGGCTGCAGGGACACTGATGATGGTGCCACTGCACTCCGGCCTGGGAAACAGACCCGATCTGAAAAACAAATGAACAAACCGAACAGTTGATCTTGCCCCTACCTCTCCAAAAGGCAAAACAGTAATGCTTTCTGAGGTACCACCTCTAAGATATTTGCTGTCATCCTTTCTCCCTCATCCTGTGATCATAAAGGCTGATTTGCTAGAGACTTGAGCATCTATCATCCTTCCATATGGCACACTGGTTGCAGATGTAGGTTCACTTGGTGATGGGTATCAAAATGTTGTTTATGGGCTGTGTCTCTGGACTTCACAGTGAGTGAATGTTTAGACCATGGCAATCACAGGGTGAAATCCTCACCCAGGGTGAGTTCCTTGCTTTGAGCTGGAAATGGGAGCTCACAACGTAGTTCCTTTCAGGAATGATAATCTGGCTCTTTCAAGTTGCAATTTTCTTAAAAATAAAGACACAGGAGACTGCAAAAAAATAATAGCTTTATTACTTAAGATGTAAGCATTTACAAAATGCCAGGGAAAACCATTCCCTATTTTGAGCCTCTGAGGCCTGAAGTTTCACCATGTACCATGAAAAAATGCCTCTTTTAAACTTTCAAACATTTGGGATTATTTTTGATTCTTATCATCCCAGATATTTTTTAAAGTTTGCCCCACTGGGCCCTGACTTAACAAATCTCTGTTCAGTTAATTAGGCTGCTGACACTAGTAACAGCTCCACTTCCGTCTCTTCTCAGGAAGAGGTGGGCACAAGACACATTGATCTGAGCTCCTTAGTATTGTGTTCTGAAGACTGAGGGCTGCCAGGAAATGATCAAAGGGTAGTGTCTAGGAAATCAGCAAACTAAAGGCTCATATATCTAAGGTGGAAAATCCATTCTCAACTGAAACAGCAGGTTGGATAATAGTTTCATAAGATAGGTTTTGTGTACACAGCACACAATGTTTAACAAATTTTATTACGTGTAAATCTACAAACAGATTTAGGGAAAACCTCCAGGTTATTTCCCCAAATAACTGACATAGTGCAAAACAAAACAAAACAAAACAAAAAAGAGGAGAGGCACAAATGAATAGCCCACTTGCAACTGTATAGAATGGGAAGCCATTTCTTTTCACTAAATCTTTTAATTTTTGGCTGGTCACAGTGGCTAATGCCTGTAATCCCAACGCTTTGGGAGGCCGAGGCGGGTGGATCACCTGAGGTCAGGAGTTCGAGACCAGCCTGGCCAACAAGGTGAAACCCCATCTCTACTAAAAATACAAAAATTAACCAGGCATGGTGGCAGGTGCCTGTACCAGCTACTTGGGAGGCTATGACACAGGAGAACTGCTTGAACCTGGGAGGCAGAGACTGCAGTGAGCTGAGATAACACCACTGTACTCCAGCCTGGGCAATGGAGTGAGACTCCATCTTAAAAAAAAAAAAAAATTAATTAGTAATTTATTTTTACAAACAACACTTTTAGTAATTTATTTTTATCTTGGTAGAGGTGCACCCCAGGGATGATCTGGCCCTCAGCCAAGAGTTGATTTTTCCTGTAGCTACGCTGACCACAGGAGATCACTAAAAGTGGATTATTAATGGAGGAAACAATGGCTGCTTGTGTCCTAGTTCTTCTGATAGAAGCAGCAGTTCCACAGTCGCCAAAGGTATTGTTCACAACACACCACAGCAACATAGGCCCATTACAGCATGTGTTTTATAACTTATCCACTGGAAGGACATATTTAATACAAATCAGCAATTCATCAAATTACTGGCCACTTAACAACATATAGAAAAGGACTGTCCCAGTAGAAAGGGTTCACAATCTGAGCTGGCCTTTTACAATGGCAAATACTGTTACAGTAACATTGTAAACAAACAAATATGAAAAAAAAAGTATCATAATTACTGAAGACCTTTTAGGTACGATTTTCAGAAAACCCAGGGATAGATTTTATGTCACAGAATGGTCCGTATCGTCCAAAAATATCTTTTGACTGGACAGTAAAATAATATTTGTTGGAAGCTAAAAACTGAGATAAAGTACAGGCCATTGGGAGTGGTAAAGCTTTAATTTCTCCAATCTTCTTCCAAATCAACTTATTATTAGGGTTCTCATGACACAGGAAGAGGTGGTAGCTTTCTACAGGAGCACACTTGGGATTGATTTTGGTTATATTCCAAGTCAGGGCAATGCCATTGGGTCTAAAAACCCGTTTCACTTTGAGCTCAGGCTTCTGGGGAGGAAGTGTGTCTC